CATGCACGCGCTGTCATTTGCTGGCACAGATGACGGGGACAGAGGTAGGAAGAGAGCTGCTGCGCATGCCCATGTATTCGTGGACGCGCAGCAGTTCTCAAGGAATGCCGTCAGTCACAGTGAGAACAAGCAGTTGGGAGGATCCCGACAGCATTGTCGGGATCTCTCCCCACTGCGGCGCTTAGCCCCGCCCACCATCTTAAAGTAACGATTGTATGTTTAGGGTGCATTTTGGATTTTTTTTGTACATATAGATTTTTTTTTATTTAGTACTGAAAACAAAAGGTGTATAATTACATGGTACCAACATGAAAAAATCATCGCAGATATCACATTCAAAGAAAATAAAGCAAATCAAAGAGGCAGCTCCTTTGACGGGGTAGAATCATACAATGATGTGAAGTACTCTATGGAACAAATTGTATGAGGCAGTGTACATTGGTAAACAGGGTACCATATTATTACCATAGAGGGTATGAGTAGAAAGTGACCTTAACTAATCAAACGGATGGAACTTGCGTAGAGCTGGGCACGAGGTCTAACACCCAGTGTTTGGAGACTAGTATAGAAAGGTCACCAGCCGGGCGGGTACCAAATCATGGAGAACGATTCATCAAAGTAATGGTACAGTAATGTAGGATATTCGAACTTTAGGTCAAGGAATCAACGTAAAAAGACCAAAAGAGACCAATTAGACCATAGGTGACACCACATAAGACAATCGACACAGTAGGGAAGGGGAGTAAGCGGAAACAGGAAAAGATGGAGATAGATTTAGGAGGGAGAGAAAGAGTCAGGATGTGACCTTAAAACTGGGAGAGTGGAGAACGGATGAGATGGAGACGAGGCGGTGAGATGTAGAGAAGGTAAAGTATTTATAAATCCACAGGGACCAAATGGATTCAAATTTTGTCATGGTATTTTCCAATTATGCCATGCGTTTTTTGTGGGACATTATCCAGTGCATATGATTTATGACACTAGGCACACTAAGGGACTTTGTCAGCCAATTCTTCGCTATTTCCCTCTTTGCTGCAGTCAATGTGTGGATAGCAAGCTTAAAGGAGAATTGTGAGGTGAGTGCTTTTCACTCAGCCTCATAATCTGAGCCGACCTGTGACAATGAGACTGTCACAGGTCGGCTCAGTAGATCGGGAAGTGAGCGAACACATACCGGCGCTCACTCACTTCTCGATCTATCCCCGCAGGTGAGCCGTGACAGAGGAGTGACTGGATCCCCCCCTCCCCTGTCCGATCTTCCAGCGCTGACTGGCAGAACGGACGGGGGAGGGTACAGCTGGCTCTGCCTCTAGATAGGCAGAGCCAGCTATCACTCATGCAGCTGGGCGGATCCAGACATAATTGTCGGGATTCATTTAAGCTGCGGCGTCTCTGTATACCGCGAGCTGCAGCTTTGGATAACAGGAGGACGCTAGTTTGTGTCCTCCCGTTACCCTTAGGAGAACTATGGGGAAAAGCCCTAACCCCATAGTTCTCCTTTAAAAGCATTATTGGAAAGACCAGCTTGTCTACTGTTTAGGAGGGCAAAATAGGGGGTCTTTAGTTAACGGTTCGGAGAGAATGGACCTGAGAAGGCTGAAATTGTATTGTGATTGTAATGTCTTCCTTATATTGTAAAGAGCTGCACAAACTGTTGGCGCTATATAAATCCTATGTAATAATAAAATTTTCCCAAAATACAGAGACCACCGGGCAGTGCCACCATATGTGGAAACAAGTTCCCTGATCTGAGCATCCTCGGAAGCAATTTGGAGAACAATTTGGGTTGAAGGTAGCCACTCTGACTGGCACCATGTACCAACGTAAGAGGACTTTGTAATTGATTTCCAACATACTTGCACAAAACGAGCTGGACCTGGTGTTCATCCAGGACTAACGCCATAAGTCTTCACCCAGGGAAGACCCAAAGTCACGCTCCCATTGAGAGACATAAGAGGGGGTGGCGTATCAGGAGGGGCAAGTAGAGTGGGGTAGAGGAAGGAGATGAGGCCCGGGCTGTGAGGTTATCTTGGCATACATTTTCAAATGGTGAGAAAGCTGAGGGGCTGCTTCGGTTAGGAGCATATTTGGTGAAAAGGTCTCTAATCTGGAGGGAGTGAAAAATTTCCCTACTGGGGAGCTGATGTTCCAGCAGGAGAGGGAAAGCCTTCACCCCCATTTCAGTTTGAAAGTTCCAAAAATAGGTAAGGTTCCTTTCGGACCATGCAGAGAAAGCCAAAGTGTGAGCAAACGCTGTCGTGTTGCGCAGGAAGGACATTAGGGGTTGGTGCCCAGAAAATGAAACCACTTAGCAATTTGACTGAATCCCACAGGCGAAGTGAATGTAAGGTAATCGGGTTGGAGATAGGAGGTCTGTGCTTTTGGTTCAACCAAAGTAAATTAGACATTTAGGTTGGTTTGATGAGAGATCCGCATGGTATTTGGTTAGGAGGCAGGTCCATTCTTACGTTCTTGATAATATACCATTGTTATTTATGACAAAGTATGGACAAGAAACTAACTCCAAGGATGGGAGAGGCCATCACAAGTATTTGTAATTAATTTGACCCAAAAACAAACAGGTTTTGTAAAAGTTTATATTGGTCCCCAGGCCAGTCACACCTATGAAATCTCTCTTGCAAATATGTTGTCTATTAGGCTGGAGGCCAAAATTAACAAAGGTGCAACAGAAAAAGGTAAGAAAACCTCTAAATAATACAGATGATTCACCTGGACATAATGTACAAAATGCAGTTTGCATTGAAAAGAAATATGACAAATCTACACAGAAAAGAGACATTGGGGAAGGAATTTATGAAAACTGAAGCAGACAGTTTTCTTATGGCAGCCAACCAGCTTCTGTTTGCTTAGTTAAGCTTTGAAAATAAAACATAGAAGCTGATTGGTTGCCATGGGCAACTGCTCCAGGTTTTATAAATCCCCCCATTGAGCATAATTGCAGAGCTTTTTTTGTAGTTGTTTAATATATTTTTATTTGTTGGGAATTGAAATGCCAGGATCACAGTGTTTGAGTTCCCTCTTGTCATTTTAGGAGAAAGTCCAACTCACCCTGTTGTTTTTCTTATGTATGCACATATCCACTGCGCCTGCATACAGTTCCATTTTAGTTATGGGCCTTCTAATCCGGATCTCTCCTGATCCCCCTATTTTCTGATCCCCCCCCCCTTCTGATCCCTTTTTCTTTAAAATCATGCAAAAATCACAAGGCACCCCAGTATAAAAGAAAAAGTGTGGTTTTCCCAAAATCTATCCTAGATAGGTGTCTGGTATGGCTTTTAAGGAGGACCACACACAAAAAAACCCACACACACACCGCTCTTCACATTAGAAGCCGCCTTCACATCATGGCCCCCCTTCACATGAGACTCCTATCTTTTAATGTTCCCCATAGTGCAGCTAAGGCAGGGGACGTGATGTGCGGCAAGTCCTCTCCTGAATGCTTGGGAAGGTCCTGGGCTGTAAGCCCCCCCCACCCGAAGATTAGTGTCATGCATTTCCGTGGTTCTGTTGGCTGACTCACCTGCTTAATGGAAATAATGGACACCGTTTGAAAATGTGAAGGCATCCCTGGCAAAGCCAAAAGGCAAACCAGAGGGCCATAGCACCCTGGTTGAGAAAGGCTGACCTATCTATCCATCTGTCCATCTCTATCAAAAAGGCATAAAATGGATTTTAAAATTGCATGGATACAGTGAGGGTGGTTATGGTGGGGGACACAAGTGATTGAGTTGGATTTTAAAATTAGACTTCTGGTACAAAGTACAGTGAAGTAATTAAGCTGAACAAAAATACATTTATAAGTGCATAGCCAGCTACAGGGCTGGTGCAGACCTGGGTGATCCGGGACACGCATCATGGGACCACGTGCTTGTGTGTAGTTGCACACGGCAGTTGCCGCGCAGCCACATTTCAATGGGGTTACATCCACTCGGCAATCGCTGATTTTTACGACACGACGCATGGCTTTTTTAGAAAATAATGGCACCGCCATCGGGCGGTGGTGGGCGACTCCCTGACCACAAGGCAATCCGCGCATGGTTGCTGAGCGGTCACGGATTGTGCAGGTGTGAACCTGGCCTTAGCTCGGTTTTTATTGCCCTCTGTCTTGGGAGATTCACTACTTCATTTACTGGTGACCATTGTCACCGCAACAGAAAGCGAGGGGAAATCCAAACATTTTGAGTGGCCATCAGAGTAAGAGGTGAGGAGAAATCCTCCAATGGGGATGCCTGTTCTGGTGACAACTTTCCAAGGTGGAAATACCTGTGACTGTGAAAGATTTTCCTTCATTTCCTGTTGCACCTCCAGAAAAGGAAAGGAATAGAAATCCCACCAGAGGCAGCTCTCGTGGGACTAGCTCTCGTCGAGAGGGAAGAAACTGTCCCCCGCAAATGACATGTATGCTCCTCCAAAGGCGCTATCCCTACCCACATGACCCTCCCCCATATGAGTAATTGTTTGTTGTTTGTAATGTTGTATTGTGCCGACCTCGCAAGCGGAAAAGTAGACTTTGTACATTCATTGTCGACGATGTATGTTGTACTTGTACCCTAACTCATACTACTGATCAACCCCTGTAACCACGTTGATCATTATTGTGATTAACTTTTGTGAAAAACTTTCTTGAAAGGAAAAAAAAAAAACCCTTCTTTATAGGCCAAATCCTTTTTTAGTTTGATACTTTAAAAACTCTACCTACGTTCAAAGTCTGATCAACAGCACACTAAATAAAGACATTAAAGCTTGTAACTGAGAAAACAAATAAAAAAAAAAACCTTTATTGAAAAATGGAAGACATTTCAGCATTGTAGACAATTAACATTTTAGCGTGGGCACTCAGATTGATTAAAAGCTCAGGAGAACAATCACAGGCTGTGGAGGACAGACTTGGTACAGAGATTAGTCAATGTATTAGAAGAAAAAGTTAGGATGGAGGTTACATCTCAGAGCTGAGCCTCCCATCCAGAACCAGAGGATTCCATCTAAGGTAACTGGATGGGAGCCTCAGCAATTCCCGGTAACAGCCACCCTGATAGGATCCCTTTTAAATAGTCATCTTCTTGGTTCAGGCTTAAAACAACTTGGTTAACAGGAAAGCCACAATGGCAGCTACCCCAGTGACTATGGACACCTTTGGGGTGGCAGCTGAATTGCAGAGGCTTGTAATGCAGCAGGAGCGTGTGGTAGTCACAGTAATGCCCAAATAGGACACTGAGGATTCAGATAAGCAGTCAGAAAGGCTTGTACATCCTTTCTTCTTCAGATTGAGAAATCCTGCAAAAGACCAGAGTGAAAAAAAAAATTACACACTGTTTACATTTATGCCATAGATACACACTCTAGGCTCGGGTAGTCAACCTCGGCATTTCACCTGTGGTGAAACTACAAGTCCCATGAGGCATTGGAAGACTGATCGCCACAGGCATAATCATGATGGTACTTCAAGTTTCACCACAGCTGAAGTGCTGAGGTTGCCTACTTCTGCTCCATGTTTTAAAGAGGCCACATCATAAGGGTTTCCAAGAGCCTTTCATGTATAATAGGCATCCTGCAGCATTTGAACCCAGAGCAGCCTAGCTGAACTCTCAAACCAATCTCTGATCAGTTGTTTTTAGAATGTTTTATTGGCTCAGTACAACACTGGCTGAAATACCTATTCAGTGGGATGAATCATGGTTTTCTGAATGATTATGGATATATCTGCAGACCTTCAAGGTATATTTTTTCATATGAACTATATGCATGCTAAATAATGGAGAGGGATAATACCTGCAGGTACTATCTGCCACAGAGATCACAGCACTCACACTAACAATGCACAGGAGCTATACTTGTATTAGGTATCATCCAGGGTCAGGATCTACTTCCTGGATGTAGATGCTGGCTCGGACATGTAAATGCTGGTACACAGTCGTAGCTAGCTCCTTTTGCGCCCGAGGCAAAAACAGAAAATTGTGCCCCCAAACAGACCTGTGAGGTATGTCTCACGCCATCTGCCCCGCCTCCAGGATGGCAGCGCGCATGTGCAGAATGCACTGGTGGCCAAATCCAAAATAGCATAAAAATTTGTTTCGTCTGACAAAACTAATGAAAACATTTGTAGTTTCCGTTCATTTTGTCTGAAACAAATTTTTAGTCTTTGCACATGTCTAGTAATATGTGTGCGTGTGTGTGTTTTTTTTTGTTTTTTTTTAAATTTTTTTGTTTTGTTTTGTTTTTACTGTTGCGGGGCTTCGGGGAAATATTAGAGGTCTAAACAGACCCCTGACATTTCCCTTTTGAAATAGAAAAAGAGATTGAGAACACAGAGTCCTCTGCCCATACAGACGGGGAGAGCAGCAGGGATCCAAGGAGATCCCTGCTGCTGTGCCGCTCCTCTTCTCGCTGCCGAGCCGCGGCTGTGTTGGCCGTCTGGTGCTTATGTTGCCAATGGCACCTTGTGCTTGCCATGGCAACAGGGGCGAGGGGGCACAGCCAGGCCAGCCCTGGCTGCGCCCCCTCTCAGCTGCGCCTGAGGCGAGTGCCTCACTCACCCCATGGAAGCTACAGCCCTGTGCTGGTATCTGTACAGGTCTTGGTTCTGTTCACAAATTTCTGATAAAGATCAGCTTTATGACTTCTTACAAAGTTACAATCTGATCATTGGGGGAAGAGGAAATGCTTCTTCCTGCCTGCAGCAAGCTGATGACATCACAGTCTAGGCAAAGTCACCAGGACTGTCTTAAAGGTGGCTTTTTGGTGGTAAAAGGTGCAGCTTTTCTAAAAGTAAATATACTGTTGCTATATATTATGACGTGTCAGAAATGTATTTCCAAAGTTACTGAAAAGCCCAAAAGTCTGTTTGAGATGAGGAGATTTGTGATGATAGAGCTTGTTGGCCCGTATGTTTACATATTAAAGGGAGATTTGCAGGCCAGAAATGAGCACCACAGGGATTTGCGCAATTTGTTTGTGTGATTAAAAACAATTGGTTGTATGCCCATTGTAGCTTTCTGAGACATTTACTGAACAAAACTAATTTATGGGGGAATAAACTATGCCCTGCAAGCCATGCACCCTCTTGAAACCTGCTTGTGTCTCCAAAACTCTACCTTAAAGCCATCAGCAACCAGGTGTTAGGTGTTCCTAATTCTGCTTTCATCATCATTGGTTTTACATGGCATCCTCACCTCCAGCAACACCGCACAAAAATGAGGACAGAGGGACAATAACCTTATATTATTCAAGTATCGGGAAAGAGAACCCTGCTCAGGGTCTATTACAAACAAAAATGGTGAAATGACAGATAGAGAAGTAAAATTAGGTTTTGTCATAGTTGGTAGAGATCAGAAAATTGGTTCACCAGAACTGCTATTTGACCTAGATAAAGTAGGCTCTTGGGTATTGAAATACCACCCAGGTTTCTTCATCCTGATTTGGACTGATGTGACTGGGTCTGCTCCTAACCCCTCTATCAGTTACTAACTCAGCCTCCACTACCCCATCAGTCATTAATCCAGCTTCTCCTACCACATCTGTCATCAATCCATTCTCCCTTACCCAATCGGTCATGAATCCAGCCTCCCCTACCCAATCAGTCATAATACAGCCTCCCCTTCCCAACTGGTCATCAATTCAGCCTCCCCTACCCAACTGGTCATCAATCCAGCCTCCCCTACCCACCTGGTCACCTGGTATATCCTTAAGGATATACATTTCTCAGTGAACAAATACCGTCCATGTATCCCAGTAGACATTTGCAAAAATCTCTCAGCAAAGCCTGTTGACTACAATTTCATGGATTCACGCACATTTAGGCAGCATGCCTATGAACTACTCACCAGTGTTATCTTTTGCAGTTTCTGTGCCACAGACTTGTCCAAAACTGCAGGAATCCTTAGAAGGGGCTAAGCAAAGTCCATAATCACAGGAATAGCACTCAATGGTGTGACCTGGTAGAGAAAACAGAAGACAAGTTAGGGGAGGCCCATCAACATACCAGCCAACTTTTCTTGGCATTACTAATACAGTTGAATTTTAGATCCACATAGAGTTGTACTGTCCCAAAAATTGGTGGGGTCTGCCATAATATCAATATGTGTGCGAGATGTGGGATTTCAGCTTTTGGTTCTATCACAACAATCAGTTGGCCAAAACAGCAAAGCACACAGCGGAAATACACATATGAACCTTAATCTGAAAAGCAGTGCTGCTTCAAAGAAGTATCAAGACAAACTTCCCTAAAGCGTTTTTACACAAACATGCACTTCATTATAGTGTGCCAAATTGCTTTCCATTCACTAAATATACACGAACATTTTAGGATTCTGTACAGCCACATTTGCAGGGCTTGAAAAAGTTTAGGGTGTCTCACCAGTCAGTCAAAAATGTCACCAGTCAGCATGACCGGACTATAGCCTTGCAATTTATGTTAACATTTTTTGGGGACAGATAGAGCTTTCTTTTGGTGGTATATAAAATCACCCCTATGTAATGAAAAAAGTACAGTAAATAAAAAAAAAAAAAAATAATTCCCTATGTTATGTTATAAAACATCTATTCTTACCCATATTTTTTTTATAAAATATAAAAGACGGGGTCACGTCGGGTAAATAGACACCAAACACGTCAAGCCTTAAAATTGCATGCGCCCGCAAAATCGCAAAAAACGACCACATCAGTTTAGTGTTATCAGTGATTAATGGCCTGAACATTATTGCTCTCACTCCGACGTTCGCGGCGATATGTAACATGTGCGGTACAATAGGCGCAATCGTTTTCGCATGTAGGCGCACCCAACGCACCCAACGCATATCTGAGTGTGTATGTGGGGGGTGGAGGACTTTAAAAAAAATTGTGCTTTTTTTTATTTTTTATGATTCTTTAATTTTTGTATTACTTTTTTTTTTTTTTTCAAAACTTTATTATTGCTCTCACTCCGACGTTCGCGGCGATATGTAACATGTGCGGTACAATAGGCGCAATCGTTTTCGCATGTAGGCGCACCCAACGCACCCAACGCATATCTGAGTGTGTATGTGGGGGGTGGAGGACTTTAAAAAAAATTGTGCTTTTTTTTATTTTTTATGATTCTTTAATTTTTGTATTACTTTTTTTTTTTTTTTACACAACTTTATTGCTATCACATGGGGGGCTTCTTAGCCCCCTATGTGATAGCCAATTTACATGACAGGTCCTCTTTATGAAGACATCAGGGGTCTCCAAGACGCCTAATGTCACCTAGGGACCCCCAGAGAAGCTGATGAAGCAGAGATCGGCTGCATCAGCTTCTGTAGCTGGAAAATGAGACTGAATGCAGGAAGTGATGTAATATACATCACTTCCTGCATTCTGGGACTGGAGAGTAGATCAAAGGGAGATCGTGTACTGATCTCCCTTTGAACTCCTGTCACAGAGCCGTGCCGGTTCCCGGCCGCATCGGGCAGAGCGCATCTTGGGACCGGCAATGGCAGTGACAGCTGCTGGTAATACAAGCGATCGGGCGTCCCGAGACGCTTGATCGCTTGAATGCAAAGCTCCCGGCCGACCGTGTAATTACAATGGCCAGCCGTTGTAAAGCTCCCGGCCGGCCGTGTAATTACAGCGGCCGGCCGGGAAGCTGCTTGTCGGGCTCCGGCATCCACTCGTCACAGACGAGTGGATTTTTCAAGCCCTGCACATTTGTAACTCATACCTTGCAATACAACAGCAAAAAGTTTCCCTGCACACTAACCAGCCAGCATGCAAAAAAAAACTTGTCTCACCGCTAAGGTTAAAAACAGAGGTTTAGATACACGTCTTCTGCAGAAAATGTGAAAGCTGCAACGTATGTCATACCCTGCAATAACGCATAGCCAGGAGGATGAGAGCATTGTATTACAGTGAACAAAACAACTATTGTCACATGTCAACTTCCAAAATGCTAACTAAACAAAGGAAAGGAGATACACCATTGAGTTCACTTTGAAAATTTGCTTACTGTACATAACCCATGGGCACCAAGGCAGTGTTAGATGAACAACATTGTGCAGTACAATAGAGTTCTGTTTGAGCAGCAATCCTTGACATTCCTGAGATTTGTATTACCACAAAACCAATACAAAAACAGATACTGTACTCCTACAGAACAATACAACACAGTGACTTCCTGGTTAGACTTTCTGCCTTGCAGCCAGGGAGGGGGGTGGTTCTGGTTCAAATCTCAGCCAGATCCCCTCCTACACTCCAAAGACATGCAGGAAGGTTAAGGCTCCATTCACACCTGAGCGGCTGTCTGTGCATAATCAGCTGTACGGATATGTACGGAGCCGCTCTACACAGGGAATTCAATACACTTCAATGTGCATCGTTCAGGGCATTATAGTGGCCGCACGGCTTTGCCCCCAAATAGCCCAAGGGCAATAATCCTGTGGATTCCGCTAATAGCCGCAAACTAGCGCCATCCGTGCGGATTTTAAAGTATTAGCGTTTTTGGCCTGCACAGAAAACCGTACAGGTACCATAAACATAGCGTGTGATTGCAGCCTAATTGGTCACCCGGTACCGGGTGTTCGCATTGGACGGGTCTTTTCTGCCCGTGCGTGCCCGCTAGGGGGCGCGCGCGAGCAGAAAAAAAATGCCGTCTGGCGACAGCAACCCGCCAATGCGACAGTGCCGTCCGTCCGTTTTTCTACTACGGGCGGACGGCAACTGGTTAAATTGGCCCCTTGTATGTAAGTGAGATAGGGGCCTTAGATTGTAAGCGCCTCGAGGGCAGGGACTGATGTGAATGTACACTATGTAAAGCACTGTGTAAATTGTTGGCACTATATAAATACCTGTAACAAAATAAAAATACTGGCTGCATTTAGGTAAAATTTTAAGCTGAACTCCAGATACAAGAAATGATTCAAATACATTTTTCAGTAAACACACACAAAAAGTATTAATCCACTTTGTGTGCACCAATGCCTTTACCCAACCAGATATTTCCACGTAAGAGTAGCAGAGGCATCATCACAGTGCTGTACATAGCCTGTGCATAGCTGTGGGAGTGACCAAGAAGGCCCCACCCACTACATGCTCCCTGGCAGGAAAACCCCCACAGGAGGGGTGGAGACAAGACCAGTCACCCTGCAATAGGAAAGAGCAGCAGTGAGCGGTCTTCATTACAGGAAGCTCCAAGTCTCACACTGGATTGCTGCACAGATCTGGGGGAAATACACAAAGCTCACCAAGATTCCAGGAAGGATACACATGACTCTTGTATTTGGACAATATTTCCTTATCAGAGACTTTAGCTTTAGGCATTTAATACAATTTAACATTAACAATTCAGGAGACAATCAGACAGAGTTTTTAAAAAATCCAGTGAAAAAAGCTAAGAGGAAATGAGCCTCTCATCTCTGGCTGCAGAATACCGCAGAGCCGCAGACACACATATGCGGCTCATCCACTTAATTGCATTTATTGATTAGCAGGTTTCGCACTACACCCAACCTAAAGCACACATGCTGACATACAACGCACATATGCTGGCTGGTATAGACACACAACATGCGTATAATCTGTTCCTCAAGCATAGAGACATCAAGATGACAAATACTTTGAGGTTTTATTCTGTAATGTCAGCTGATTGTCTACTGAGAGCGTCTAGTAAGAAGGTCAGAATTAGACAGACACTGGCGGCATGCTCTGAATTCACAATTCTGCTGGCATACCAGCAATGCAGCCCAGCCCGGCCCTCACTGACTGCTGCTATGTCACCGGATCAATTTACTGAGCAGCTGCTAGGAGACATCTACAATTCCTTCCCCTACTTACTAAGTTCCTCTTTTTATAAAAGGATATGACTGGTTCCCCTTTTTATAAAAGGACATGAAAGGACTGTACCAGCAATGAGTAGTTGGATTATTTTGTAAACTAACATTACAAAATAAAGCCAGTGTGTAAAAAAAAATAATAGTTTCTTGTGTCAGCAACAGAGATATTAAGGTCTAATTTCAGCTTGGGGAAATAAACCTAAAAATTGGACCCCCGGCAACTCTTGAGGGCAACCCATCTCATCAATAAGGCACAGCTCCTCTTCCAGTTTGAATGACACCCAGCATCATTCAAACCACTTCCCGTAAGCCCAGGGTGTCCACTGTGGATATACAGTAGAATGTTGTAAAGAGTGGTGCTACATCACCATGTGTTGCCACTTTGCAGCATTAATGGATTTATTTTAGGGTTGTTCCTAGCCTTGTTGCTACCTGAGGTGGGAAAGGGTGCAGGCGATGCATACAGTCAGGATGAGGTGGGAAATGTAGTGCTGGTGATTCCATCCTCTGAAGACTTGGCCACCTGGGATGCTCTGGCCGGCATCCTTTCGGGCCCCCCTGTGCACGGGCCCCATAGCGGCCGCCTGGGTCGCTATGGCGATTGTTACGCCACTGGCGCATGGCCCTTACACATCTCCCCCACCTGGCTCTTAGCAACCTGGGACACACTGGCCAGAAAGGGGGTGTTAGGTACACTGCATAAATTGTGCATCAGAGGAGCCATGCTGCCCCACCATGTGACCCAAAGAGCTGCCACCTGGGGCTACCTCATAGGGACAGCCCTGGGTTACTTTCCAAAACTCCTGCACAGAATATAGCATGATGGATGCCATTCAGTTAAAGGCATGGGTACCAAAACTTAAACACCCCCCCCCCGCGCTTTGGTAAAACTACAAATCCCACCATGCAGCTGGCTCTGGTAGTCATTCCTGTGGCTGTCAGAGTCTTGTAATGCCTTATGAGACTTGTAGCTTCACAACACATGGAGGGTGCAGTTTGGCTACCTTTGCTCTACAGTGTCACTGCTGAGACAATAGCGGGAAATTCTGGCACATCCCTATTACAGGCAATAATCTAGTGCCAACAGTTTACAAATCACTTTGTTTATATTGGTCCCTGTCCTCCAGGAGCTTGCAGTCTAATGTTCCCCT